TCAGTGCATGTATGTCGAAAACACTGAACAAAATTATAAACGCAACACTTTATTTTTGCCCCCATTCATCATGAGCTGAACTCAAAAGATCTTTGACTTTCTCTATGCACAAAAAAGGCCTATTTCTCTCAAATATTGTTCACAAATCTGTCAAAATCTGTGTCAGTGAGCACTTCTTCTTTCCATGACTTCCCAATAATGTACTGATAATGTATTAATATCTGGTTAGAAGATATCACACATTTGTAATTATCTTGCAAAAAAATAGGACTGAAAAAATAATCTATTTACAGCTATCGGGCAGGTATTACGGTTTAAACATGGTCTTTCAACATCTGTTTTCCCTGTGACTCACCTTCCGGCTTATAGCAATGAGCAGACACTCGGCTGCCTCCAGCTGCAGCTCTGGTTCACCCAGCAGCAAACACAACATCTCCAATAGATGACAGTTTCCGGAGGTTATGTGCACCAGAGACACCCAGTCTATGTAGCCTGCAAGTGTATTCAGCGTGGCCACAGCAACTCGACAGTGAGCTCTGGCCTGTGCTTGGAAAAATGGGCGAAATGGGGAAAAGTGAGGGATGGGAGTGTCAATGAAGTAATCAAGTTCATAAGAGGTTCACTTAAGAGCAGAGATGCGGAGATGTTTTCTCACCTGTAGTTCATGTCCGGGTGACCCTTTCTGGATTACCAAAAACACAAATCGGACAAATATTAGACATTTCACTGTTCAATTATTACTTACTAAATAATATGTCAAAGATGACATAGATCCATGATAGTACTGTGAAATTAATCATAATGCTACTTATTTGTACAAAATAACTGACCAGTTTACGGTAGTCTTCGACGTTAACTTGCAGAATGGCCATCATGAAGCTGAAGATGCTTTCCATATTTTGGGTGAGCGTCTGCTGGATATCTCTGCGCCGCTGGGTGGGCAACGTCTGGAAGGTAATCACATCCTCGGCCAGCCTCAACAGGATCAGCATCACCAGCTCAGTCTGTGCCTCCTATGTAGAATTAGTAGACTTTATTTCCCTTACGTTTGACTTTGCTAGTCCATAACAACAGGATTAAAAGGGTTGCATCTTTCGTAAAAGTTGCTCGAAAAGACCAACAATATAATTCGCAGTGATGAAATAATCAAGTGGAAAAGATGTTGTTTAGGTTCATAGTTTCCGAAAGAGGACAATTTCTACCAGTTGACCCCAATTAAAAAGAATATGACCAGTGTTTACTTACTACTTGAATCCATTTACCTTGCTTTTCCATTCAGTTCTCTTTTCCCCACACTCACATTCACACACCTACACCTTTGTTCTGCAACACACCGGCTTTCTCCGCCTCTTTCTGTCTCTCTCTCCCCATCAGCAGTATGTTTTATAAAGTTTTCGAAAAGACACAGAACCAGTCTTTTGGATTTTATAGTCTCCCGATTTGGTGTTCACAGCAGCAGGTGCGCCGCATGTGGAGGAGGCTTGTCAGTGAGGTAGCATGGTACCAAATGTCATCTGCGGTATGTTCACTGATGCTTTACCTGGTCTGTGCTTGTAAAATATCCACTATGTCCGCGTCTTGTAACATAATACTATATAACATCTCTCTCTGTGTTTCTCTGCAAAATGCTGAAATCAGTCACCAAATATACAGTACCTGGGCAGCTATTAATATACCTGGGCAGCACCCACAAGTATATTTGGGAAACACAAATGACTAATCTTCAACAGGACAAATTTGCATCTGAGCTATTACATAATCATATTCAAATAGCTTCCCAGCTCACAAAGGAAACAGCTGTAGGCAGTAACAAGCCATTTCTGCCACTATGTAAGTTACTCACCCCTTGGCTAGTGAGAGCCTCCATCTCTTTCAGCATATCTGGCCAATGTTGAGGCCATTCTCTCTTGATCATTTCCACTATGATTCGTGACAGAACATCTTTGATGTGGCTCTCCTCCTCCAGGATTGAATGAGTACCCTGATAAGACCCAAAGCAGGTGCCAGATAAGTGTCTATACAACTGTGACAGTAAGACAGTGTTTAAGCTTCAATTGAACCATGAGACAGATCATTATGTTGTTGTTAACAGCCTTTTACAATCACCCTTACATTTGATAACAGCTGCATGGCACACTCCTTCAACTGGACTTTCTCTTGTTGTTGCATGTTGTTCCATCGGAACCTGCAAGAATAACAAACCTTCTTTCAGATCTGCAGCTTTTACCATGTAGTCGTTTGTTATACTTGATTGATTATAGTTAAAGTACACTCACTTGATGATATGCTCCAGCATTTGCAACCCAAAGTGTCTCACTACAGCTGGCTGGGCTTTGTCGGCTAATTGCAGGCCACATGGGACACAGAAGGAGCTTGTCTCTTTAAACTCTTCACAAAACTGGTATGAAAATAAAGCTTGTTATATTACAGGCAACTAGATAAATGCTATTTTAAAAGGTTTGAAAATCATACTTAATTCATCTTAATATTACTGTGTACATGTAATGTGCCAAGAGGCTACAGGAACAGCTGCCTCAGCGACATTTCAATAAATACGTAAATAGCATACACAGCTAACCTACCAACTAGCCACTAAAAGCTGCAACGCTGCCATTAGCAACATAACGTTAGTTGACCTTGTTAACTCGAGCTCTGCATTTCATAACCCTCCGCAGTACGTTCAGTACTAAACCAGATGTTACCGTTTCTATGAATGAATGAACGTGGGGAGACAGAGGTGGTAATCGTGGCATAACGTTACCGGGGCTAGCTCGCAAGGCATCTTGCCATCATCATTGCAAACTTAGCTAACGTTAACTAACGGAATCGAACTGTGTGATCAATGCTGTTACTACTAGTGGTCCTACCGAGGTAATCTGACTTTTTAATCAGCTACGCAGAAACTTGATTGTACTTTCACAACACCTCAAATAAATGACAAGCTCTGCTAGCTAGCAGCTAGCTAGCAACCATAACGATGCTACCTTTAGGGCCTCCAGTCGGTAAATTTGGCTTGTTTCTGCATCCATCATCACATTCACAGCTTTGATGAGCTGATCACACATGGCAGCCACCTGGTCAGCCATGACTTCAGGTAGCGTCTGGCACACTGTTAAGGCAAAAGCGAGGAGCTCCCTTATGCAAAACACCTGCACTACAGTGAGCTGCGTACGCTCAGGGAGGTACCAACGTGCACAAAACGTGCTGCCTGTGTGTTTGAACCTTCGGCTCGCCGTAAAATAGGAATTCTGGGAGTTGTAGTCGAAGCGCCTTTTTTTAAAACAATCGCCTACGTGCAGAAAGAGAAATTCTTTTGTGAGTTAGGGGGGAAAAATGCGTGACGTCTGAGAACCTGTGGAGCCCGAAAGTGTCAGTCTTATTTCAACTGACATGCTGATATGATCAGATACATGATAAATGATTTAAATTAAACAATTATACAGTGTTTTTATTTAATCTTTTTTTTGTTGAAATTCAATTGAATTATAGATCGTTTAATTTCAAAATGGCTTTTGCAAAAGTTTTTATAGGCTACCATAATGGTATTTCTTCAAATTTCATAATGTCACTTTTCATGACAGTGGAGTCACTAGACTAGCACCCTCTTACCTTTCAGCTCATCAAAGCATTTAACAATTTTTGGTTTATATATCTATAACTTTATTTATTGTTGTGAGTATTTATTTAATATCTTCTCATTTATTTATTTTACACTGAATGTTTTACGGTTCCATAGAAGGATGTTTTTATTATCTCACTAGCAAGCTGTTGCAAGCAAGTGGATGGTCAGATGTATTCAGTCACCAAGAGATGTGTTGTAAACATTTAGGAGAATCCAGCTAGGTTTTTTGGCAAAGTAAATATCCTAAACGAAACTTTTAATGACTCAGATTTTGCATAGGCCTATCTCATTTTACAACTATATCAGTTTAAGTTATCCACAAGATAAGAACTATCAGATATCTTTAATTGAAATTAGCCCATGACTAGTCAAAATATCTTAAATCTTTATTAGTCATAGCCAGATTACAAAATGAATTGGTGTGCCTCTATTAACCTGTCCCTCCAACCCTCTGGGACCCAGGTTTGTATGTGGGAATTTGATTATACACAAATGAATTTAGGAATATGTAACATGCAAGCACTAAACTGAAATAATGAAATCTAAATGTAAGATTTCTGAAGACATGGCGTCAAGGAAATAGGAAATAAATAAGAACCACTGCAGAGAGCCTGCATGCACAAAATGAACAAAATGTGTACTTAGCCTTTAACATTTCAGATACAAAGGGATTAGAAATTGCTACTGTAGATTTGGATACTACATACAAAATCTACAAAACCCCATTCAAAAGTTATTTAATTATAAAAACATAATGAAATATAATTCAGTAATCTGTATCTTGTTTTTAGATTAAATAACTTTTTTGGACAATGCACATTTGTTTCTTCTATATTTAAATTGCATTGCTTGTTTTCTTATTGTGTATATAAACCTTTCTCAAAGCATTTTCAGTTGTTAGTTAACATTTCTTGTTGCATGCTCAGAACATTTTTAACAAATGCTTTAAAAAGTGATGGGGACAAAAGCAGCCATTTCAAAAAGAGGTGGGGACATGTCCCCAGCGTCCCCAGTGTAAATGACACCTATGTGATCCCCTGTGGGGGATCAATAAAGTCTTTTCTTATCTGCTTGCCAGAACTCCACCACCTCAACTTCAGCTTTCAACTTGTCAGATACGAGCAGAGTGAGACCTCTTACTTTTCTCCCATCCAACTCAGGTTGATTGATCTCTACTTTAAATTAGGTATAGGTAAAAATTTGCTGCTAATGATCCAGTTGTCCAACTAAATGATGTCGATCTGGAGTAGACTTTTGTGAAAATTAGGTTTTATTTTACAACGATTACAGTTACATGTTTCACCGGGACAAGTCTAGCCGGTGGGTGTGTTTTGTGTTCCAGGCGGGCGGAGCTTGAATTCCTAAGCGGAGTGAGTTTCCTCCCGATGCGTCATTCTGGGATAGGCTGCGAGCAGTCGAGCAACGCAGTCAGTCACGGGGTTTCGGCTGGTTACCTACGCGTTCTCCGGTAAGAAAAACCTAGAAAATATCAAATAATCCCTGAGTAAATGTTATAATTAGTTTAATCTATATCTTTCTCACAAAAAGTGACGGTTTGTGGCAGTGAAACGAGCATTTTCAAAGTTGTAAGCGGTGCTCACACAACTACAACGGAAACTTTTGTCGTGAAGGCCTTGTTATTTGATGCAACAGGTCCGCGACACGGGCTACCAATTAACATTAGTGTGTTTTATTTCTGGAAATGTTTGGTTGAGCTAATGAAATAACGATGTGCTGTGTTTTTAATGCAGAACGGGACCCCCAAGCAGGAGAAAGTAGCCTTGCCCATCGCCCAGGTTTAGGCTCTGGGATTAAAGTGGTCGCCAGTCCCACAGCTTTCGTCGAAACTGCCAGTGGGGATTCATGCTGTGTGTGTTAGCTAAATGCGGTACGAAGCTAAAATGATGCCGGTGAGTTTATGTTTTATTTACTTGGCTACAAGTTTCAAACGTAGTCCTATATCTTGATATTTATGTTTTTAAGCATGATATCACCGCGCCAACCCGGCAATGTTAAATTAACTGGACATTTAAATTGGCGTGGCAAGTTAATGCGGTTGCTAACGTTACTTTGTGGGAGCAAGGACTTCTGTTGTGCTGTTCAATAGCTGTGAGTGTGTGATCGGTGCATTTGGTTACAAGTTACGTCATTTATTTGCTTCCTGGGATATTATTCTGCATATACACGGTTGTCATCCATGTAAACGGACCTTGCGTTAAAATGCCATAGTTATATCTATAAATCTTGTTTGGGGACAGTTGACGTTTATCTGACAAAGTTGTCATTAACTGAACTGTTATTGTGAGTGTATATACACATCCATCCTGCTCAGAACACACAATAAGCAGAGGGCGCCTGGAGCCCTGCCATGCCATCATCACCACCACCACCACCATCATCAGAGGTCCATTGCTTTTGCTGCAGTGCAAGGCTCTGTGTCTCAGCAACTCCTGTGATGTGTGTAGAGAGGGCAGCCAACAGTGGTCTGCCTACACGTGCTCACTGTAAAGAAATGACCTTCCTTCCATCTATCCTTCCATCGTCAACCGCTTATCCTGCGTACAGGGTCACAAGGGGCTGGAGCCTATCCCAGCTGAAATTGGGCGCAAGGCGGGGTACACACTGGACAGGTCGCCAGTCCATCGCAGGGCCACACATAGACAAATAACCACTCACATCCACACCTAAGGACAATTTTTTGGAGACACCAATTAACCTAGTCAGCATGTCTTTGGATGGTGGGAGGAAGCCGGAGCACCCGGAATGAACCCACGCGGGCACGGGGAGAACATGCAAACTCCACACAGAAAGGCCGTGGCAACCGGGGTTTGAACCCACGACCTTCTTGCTGTCAGGCCACAGTGCTAACCACTGCAGCACCGCGCCACCCCAAAATAACCTTCCCAACAAATAAAAATAGAGGCACGTTTTTTTTAAATAATGCTGTTTTACTTCTGTGTTTTCTGGTAAAGGAACAAAGGTCAGATTAAGTTATGGCTGGATTGGTAACTATTATCTTTTAACCCACCTAGAATTCTTACATCTAGAGTTTATTTACATGAGAAAGCCATGGCTGCACCTAACAAATATTTTCATGATTAATCTGATGATTATTTTGTGTTGATTCATTATTATTATTTATTTTTTTAAAGTTAAAAGTGCGCGTTTGTCACGTGTTTGTATTTCTTGTTTTGTCAGACCAACATAAATACCATGTTATACATTTTGGCTTGGTAATTGACTTAAATGATTAATCTGTTGATCAGCTAATCGCTTCATAAATTGATTGTTTCAAAACTAGTACCATTTCAGGATGTTTCCTTTATAGACCAAAGGACAGTTGTGGCCAGAGCGTTAATACTGAAATATTCCGTGCTTTTGCCTCAGCTTCTCTAGTTAATTCTGGACCTTTTGTGTTTAGTGAACAAATATGTCAAGTTGCATGCTGTATCACAAAGTCACACAGTATTTACAACGATGTTAATGCTTGAAAAATAAAAAAAATCAAGTGCAATCCTCTGAGGAGCTATGCTCACATTCTGCTAATATTAACATTCTCTGCTCAGACCTGTGCTTCCTGTAAAACAGCTTGATCAGTGAATTTATCATCTTAGCTGTGGAGACGAGAGTCGTTTTTGGATGACTCCTGTCTGACCTCACTCTGCTACTGTCATTTGTTATCACCAACCTCTGTTCTTGCGGATGCCACTATAAATCGTCGGCCTTACATCTTCTCATGCAAGATCTATTTCTTTATAGGCCACATGAGACCTTGGTAATTGCCCAACTTCTGTCACCTGAGAATATATTTGTTTGTGTGTGAGTGTTTTGGTGTGTTTGAATGAGATACAGCTTCTGGTGTTCGCCTGATAAACACAAAATGGGCTCTTTATAGCCATGTCTGATGTGAGGTATTGTCTTAGAAATTACACCCATAGCTGATGCCCCTGCTTGGCCCTGCTTGTACAAGCCAGGGGCTTGGGGGGTAGTGGGAATATAATGTCGTAATTGCAGGCTGGGATGGTAAATACGGGGTCACTGTTTTCTGAACACAATGAGCTATAGGGACTATTTAACAGCTTGTTGTGGAGACCACATTGTGTGTGCCTGTACTGTGGCAGCAGCCTGATAAGGGATGCTCACTCTTTATTTAAACATTGCGCAGTACAGCTAATAACCCCTGATTTACAGTTATCTCTACTTAAACATGCAGACACTTATCAGTGCCACATTAAGGGTTGAATTCTCTGCTGGTTTATTAGCCTGTATTTCATTTTTGTGTACTTTCCGTCAAGATAAGATATATATATATATAAATAAATAAAACAACATAATAGAAACCAAACTGTAGAACAAGTTTTATGCATGATTTTATTTTTTTGCCATGGCCTGCATTATTTAGTTTTGTGTTCTTTGAATATACACATTTGTACCATGTCTCAGTTACACCGCAACAAATCTCACTAGTGCTAGACATTGTGTTATGATGGTGGGAAAATGAGGTGATGCTCTGTGAAGCCTGATTTTGCTGTGTGTGTCAACAGAAACGTGAGTAGGCTTTCGCTCCGGCCACCACAGCCTTTGTGTTTACTCTGTGGGAGAGTATGTGGTGGTTACATAAGCAGTGATAGCCAAGGACCTTTTTAGGGTAATGTTTTGTCTTTTATCTGAAGAAGAGTTATAGGGGCGAATATATTAGTGGACAACAGTGGTGTAAAAAAAAAAATACAGTAAGCTTGTAATGAAACTTTGCTCTCAACATGGCAAGTTCTTATTATCTGTGTACTGTCTCCAGAGTGCTGAGTACTATAACAGGGCAGAAGAAAGAATATTTGCTCAGACAACTGATGATCTTGTAAATATCAGTAGTAAATATATACTGTTCAATGTTTCCTCTGGGTTTTTTTTTTCAACAGCTGAGGAAAGGGTTTTGTTGTACGTGGGTGGTTAGTCTCTAATTTGTTAATGCAAAGTTCTAACAAGTCAATATTCATATCCATTTATGCATAACAATAAGTTCAGCATTTTGAAAGTTTACTGTAGCACATCAACCTTTTTTTAATGTCCCGTCCCATCCAGGCTGTGGATGGTCAGTTCATGAAAAGGGATAATGATGAGGGCATTGACACCATGACATTTCATAAAATTCTGAAGCAGTGGCGGCAATAATTTTGGAGCAGCGAGCCGTTGTTAGACTGTGCAGTGCACTAATTCCACAGTATCCGCATCACGTTAGCCTGGTTTCTGAGAGCAAGCACACCAGAGTCACCTGAGCAGGTATCAACTTACCAACCTGGGAATGTTGAGTAACTCGCGTCTGTGAGGAATCCAGGTGAAAAGCAGAATTACACAAGTGGTACAACTCCAGAAAGACCCCTTCTCAAGCAGCAGGGGCATTGTGACAGCTGTCTTAAGGTTGAAAACACTAGTCTAGCCATGGGGAACAGGGAGGCCATGGTTCCGAAGTGTACGCAGAGTGGTCTGGGAATTGGCCTTCTAGGAAACCCGTAGCCCTTTCTGACTAAATAGCCCCAGGACCTGAACTCAGGAACTAAGTCAGGCATCAAATGTTCCTTTGTGGCATCCTGTTTGCACAAGTCAGGTCTGATGTTAATGTAATATTTGATAAAGTAAATTAGGTTGACAACAGAATGCAGTGGCTTTTTTTTGAGACAACAGCACATTTGTTCTTTATAATTCGCTGCTGTACGACTGATGTTTGAAAGGATATTCTTAAGCATGTAGTGACATTTAAGTATTTGTAGTCCTAATATTGATGCTACACACCAGTACCTGCTGCTGTGTGAGTAATACCCCTGCAGTGTTTCCCACAGGATTTTAAGAGACTATGGTGGGTGAGTCTTGTACCCTCTCGGGGGCGGGACCGGGGGCGTGCCCCCCCGGAAATAAAATTTGTACATTTTAAAGTTGAATGCAATAATTTGGTGCAAAATTAAGAGGCTATCTATGAAGAACTTTGGATGCTTGTAAACAGTGTTGTGCTGTAATAAACTATTTGATCATAAACCCATTGTATAGCTATAAATGGTGATGAAACAGCAACAAAAGTCAACTAATTTATTGTTTTTCCAAAAAACCCTAAATCAAAGAATAGAAAATAGAATAAGTAATTTCCCTAACATGTTTTTTTACTTTTAATGGACACTGAATAAAATCCTATTAATCTTATTTCCATACTGTATAGACGCCTTAGTCTGAAAACCGGACGTTGTCACGTGTATCCTCGCGCAATGTTTGATAAATAATGTTGTATGTGGTTCTTGTATGGCGTAACATGAAGACTTCACAGCCTCTCTTCAGGTAGGACTCTCATACTGCAACACTTGTCTTTGTAAGGACAGAAACTGACAGGATAAAGTCGCTAACCTGCCTGTCAGCTCGCTCTGGGCCGTTTCACTTACCATAAAGGCTTGAATACGTGTGCTCTCCAAATTTAGGTGCGGCTAGCTTAATCGCCTTCTCACAGAGCACTGAGCAGTGGCTCAAAACACAGCGTTAGAGGTCTGAAATGTAATTATGAGATGTGTAAAAATATTTTTCAATTTGAGACTATAGTGGAGCAAATTAGACTATGGCGGGCCGCCACGGTCTCGTTAATTAATGGGAAACACTGCCCTGCCCCAGGGACTTTTGTAGAGACAAAAACTATTGCCAACTAATGTGCCTAATGTTCATTAGTCCCGAAAAAGGTTCCTGTAAAATGGCTTTTGTTCTCCGCCTCCTCCAGTCACCCATCATTCAGTATGCATCCAGCCACAGTTTTAGTCGCTGTCTCTTGCCTTTTAGTTTCACTCATGATGTAAGTATTGATAAGTTTTTCGTACTGTAAATTCCAATACAACAGTCTAGCTATTAATCGTCAAGAGTGCTTGGAAAAAAAGATACATCC